GGGGGCGGGGGGGAGAGGGGCAAAATAATGAAGCGTTGTTAATTACTTTTGGATACAGTCTGTCTCCGAGTTTTTGTTGATGCATGGTCAGATGTTCGTTAATTCGGTGACTAACGGGTAACGGATGGGAATTGGAGGACGAACTACCAGGTCCGGTGCTACTGCTGCCCTCGACGGAGCCGGATGGATGGAAAGAACGAGCTTCGAAAGACAATGCTCTACGCGTATCGCGACTTTTTCCAGATGATCGAGGATTCTGGAATAAGAAAGTGAACGACCAGTAAAGAGAAACTATATCGTTCGTTTCCTTTATACTTGTTACCGTAGCAAGTTTTCTTACTTGTCGCCTCAAGTCACGATCACGATCTCGGTTTTTCAGTTTCTGAAGAACGTTGTATTGCGTGTACTTTGATCCTACTTGTGCTGCTTCGAGATTGGGTAGCTTCTCATTCGCGAGCAACGCCTAAAATATATTGATATATCTGTTAGTACATCGGAAAAACAAGGACTTGTGTGTGTGTGTGTGTTTGTTGTTGCATCTTGTTTAAAAATGCACCAGTAAATACTGCGAATTGAATGTTACCTAAAACAAGTTTGGCTTATGGGCACAGTACTGTTTGAAATATTTCATAGCTTGGAGAGTGAAAAAAAGAAAAAGAAAAAGAAAAAGAAAAAGAAAAAGAAAAAGGGAGAATGAGCAACGAAAGCATTTTCATAATTGACGATGTTACACACCTCCGCGATCGCTGTGTAAAAACCTCTCGTAACCCCAGACCCTTCGCCAGGTTCATCCATGAACGTCACTTTAACGCGGTGTACTGCTAATGGCGGCGTATTAGAGGCGCGCCTATTAAATAAATTATATTGCGTGTTTAATTCCTTCATCGTTTGTACTAGTAACTGGGTTCTATCTCGTTCCACCTTGAATAGGCAAAAAAGTGTTTAGAATACGATGCCCGTAGTGAACACACTTTTCTAGTTGTCCGTTAACAGGTCGACCGCCACGGTGACACCTCATCACCTGTGAGCTTCCAAATGATCCGAATTAAGTAACTAAACGAGTAACTAAATAACAGAGCGTAACCGAAGAAAGCGATAAATAAATAAATGGTAAAACATTCTCGTGGCGGTCAACGCGCGAACAGTAATTAGGTTGTGTAAACCGAACAAAATTACTTTGTACAAAGTGATGTCTCTTTGTTGGGAGTTACGCAGTTTCTCCATGTCTCTGCGAAACTTGGCCTCTTTCACCTGGAAACCTCCCAGCTCGGACACAACCGAGCCAACTTCCAATCCAACGTCCTCCATGAAAACGCGTCCGAACAAATCGAGCAACAACCTCCAACGTCCCAACAGAATGTTATGAGATATATTCGAGCCAATGGAGGAGACGGCCCTCGCGTTCTCCACCGGGCTAGTCTCGACCGTTTCGTGAGCCGATATCTCTTGGCTCGAGCCGGCCGGGTCGACGTCTTCGGCCACATTCTGGGTCTCAACAGTGGACACTACCAATACCTCCGGCGCGCCTGGTTTACTCGTGTTCGGTTCCTTCGAAATAGAAATCGGATTGTTATTCCACGGGGAGGCGTGGTCGTCGCGCGAGCGATTCAATGTATCATCATTCGCGGAACACTTCTAAGATCCCTCCCCTTCTCTGTTACGTATGCATTTATTTGTTCTTTCCCTGGTTCGCTTAATATCTCAAGAAAACAAGTTGAAGTCGCATATATTTACCGAAACGGTTCCAGCTCTAACAATAACACTTCTATTCGTTTTACACTGATCCTTATTATTTTTGGTACTTCCTGCTGCCTCGTCGGTCTGATTGTTAGTAGAAACTATAATCGGGGCTCGATCGATTTGTTCCGCGACAAGCGAATGATTATCGTTCGTGTGATTAAACGATTTTGCCTTCTCCTACAATGTGTAAAGTACCTTATAGTTTACTGCGTTAACAGAATGAAACGCGTGCCAAAGCAAACACACAGTTGTACAAAACGAACACGGAATAACACAGGGAATTCCGTTATTGCAACTTGCGGTTGCGATAAAGGAATTGGAACATGCCACCGGGATGAGCAAAGTCATCCGCGTATACACGTGTGCAATCATACACAAATGTACGGGGAAGGGAGGACCTTTGCAGGCGGATCACTGCTGACACCGAGCCTGACCAAGGTCACCGTACATTCGTATACGTTGACAAGTGAAACGCGATCAAGCGGATCCTGTGTTTGGACAGAGTGTTTCCTAGTATGTGGAAGGTACTGCAGTCGCGAATTGTCATTAGAAATACCGACAATGAAAACTCCTCCGAACAAGCGTATCTGAACGCTTCGTCGGTCACGTTCAGATCAGGAGATTCTCTATTTTCATTTCCCAATTTACCACTGCAACACTTGCCGCGTATTGGGAAAAACACTGTGCAACCGTGCAACCGTGCAACCGTGCAACCGTGCAACCGTCAAACAAATGGAAAAGGAGATAGATAGCCTACGCGCAAAGGTTTCTATATCGTGGTGACATTACCGTGTATTTCGCGGTGGCCGACGAGTCTCCGACGGAGACGGAGCTACGTCTCGCATCCATCGATGCGAACGAGGCAGGGCCCTGAATAATCTGACTGAGCGTGGGCGTAACTGTGTTCTGATTATCGGAACCACGCGCGGACAAGCCGAGCCTCGTGGGCAACCCCGCCAAGGGGTACTGATTGGGACTCGTGCTCGTCGCCGGCTGCCTCGGAATGCCGAACAGATCCTCGCGTCTCGAGTGGGGTTGCAGCAAATGCGGCTGATCGGCTAACGGCAACGCCTCGCTCATCACCGTGTCGAACGGGTCGAGGGGCGGGCAACCCAAGCACAAAGTGGAGTCCGATCTTTGCAAGAACGGATGTTTCCTTCCTTTCGGTGTGCTGTCTCTGTTATTCCCCGTGCCGCAAATCGGAACCTGAAGCAGGTCCGGATAATCCACGGAATCCGTTTCCATCGCCGTAGGCACGGGAGAATTGTACTCTTCGCCTTCGTCGTTGTCGTTCTCGTCCTGAAACGCGTCAGCGACACGCGACTCCTTTAACACACTCGTCGCTCGGCGGCAAGATGGAGACGGCAGAGCGAAAACGATGCTACGAACCTGATCGTTCCAACCCGAATAGTTGGACGAGCCCTTGTGCGTTTCCCCGCGGCTCGACATCGGTTCCGACAGCGAGCGCATGTAATACACTAACGCGTCGAACACGTAAGCTACGTGTCTCAAGGAGGAAACGTCCAACACTGGCAAGCTGTCTCTGTGTTCGCCATTGTGGGCACGCATCAAGGACAAGCAATAGGTCAAAAATTCACGTCGCGCCAGATGTATTTCGCTACCTGAAATTATCGTGAATTAGGCGGTGGAGAACCGGACGGGAGAGAGCCGGTCGCTGAATTAAATCGCTGAATTAAATCGCTGAATTAAATCCCGACGATTGAAAGCATACGAGAAGAAGAACTAAAGAGTCGGTTGAACCGCGCGCAGAATGACTCGGGAGGAAATAGAAATACTTTGCCCACGTGTACGCCGTAAGCAGCCGTTGCCGGTCGTTAAACGGAGATTCTCGAGATCTGTTTGTTGAAACGCGATGCCAGCCAATGGCGGAGTATTTATATTTCTACCCGTATCACCGGGTGGACACGGTGTGCCCGGTCTAGGAAAAAGAACAAACGCGTACCTTCGCGTTCTCTACTGCTTCTCGAAGGTTCACCAACGCCTGCAAAACCAACGGTGAGTCTTGTAGAAGCTTGTGGTGTGGAGATATTGCTGCTGGTAGCGATACCACTGCGTTGATTCCGACCTGCATTAGACTGTAAAGTCAAAGACAAAGCGGCGGTGTTCAGTAGCCCAGTAAAATTCGCTCCGGACAGAGACGGGGCGTTATTCAACGGGTGTTCCGGGTGCGTTGGGTCTGCGCTACGCGTCAGGGATACGCCGAATCTTAATTGTGCTTCCGTAGCGTCCATCACCGTTAATAACCAGTCCCATGTTGGCTTTAAATGCGTTTCAAGATACATCTGCAAGTTATAGAGATTCGATTAACGCTACAGATGTTGCCCGACCGGCGGTAACTCGCGTTCCGCGAATTCCAGTCAGAACTAAACAAACGGCAAACCTGTAAGTTCAATGCGTCCTGGTAGGTAACTTCCATCAACCGCGGTAGAAACGGCGCTAATGTTTTGTAATCCTGCATCATAACTAAAAGGTCGGCTATTTGTCGAATAACAAGTCCAAATGCGCGCGCCAAACAACTTGTGGTGGTGCCCATGATAATGGGCTCCTGCGTGCCCGCGACTGCGGATGTCGCAGTCGTACGTCTTAAAGACGCGGAGTCAATGAAAACGAGATTACTGCCGCCCGCCACCCGCAATCCTGTCGCACGAGTGCTTGTCTCGCGATTGCGTATCGCCCATTGCATTGAGACGGGCGCGAGATTATTACGGTGTAAATGGCCGGATGAACCACTAAAATAAGGCGTCGATTACGTGAAATGTTCTGTTTCGAGTTGCGACGATACCTAACTGCAACGCGACAAACACAGAGCGCGTTCAACGCTAGAACTGCCGGATCGGTCGAAATCACTCGTCGTTCCTCGTTTCCTCTTTTGCAATTGTTGCAAGCGCTTTGCAGAGATGCTTTGACAAATTACCGAACAAACGAACTGCACAGTGCACTACAGTTTTCATGGAAATATCAAAAAGTCGATTCGACTCTGGTCGGTGGTTCTAGTGTTAAAGAGTCGACGACATAGTCGTGGGCTATATATCATATTCGCGTAGAAACACTCCTTACAATATCATCGCATGCACGCCTTTAAACGTGCACGTAGTCACCGGTTTATTACAAGTATCATAAGGAAGTTTACCTTCGTCTCTCTAATTGTTCGTCACCGATCTGAAAGTCTTCGTTATCCTGCTCGTCGGTTTCCCCGGCTTCGCTTTCGTCATCCTCCTGCTGGCTGGATTCGCCGGACTCGTCCTCGGGGAACAATAAAATCGATCCCACTCCGCCGTCGGAACCAGCAGTGGCGCCAGTCTGTACGCTGCGTTGAGCGGAAGCTGCATCCTGATTGCTATGATTGTCGTCCGAATCCGACTCCGTCTCCGCTTCCGCTAGGAGATCGAGTTCCGTGTCCGATTCGCCGTCGCCTGGCTGTTCCTCGCCCACGCCGCCGGTATTGCTGTCCATTTCACCCAACGGTTGCCCGGCGACCGTTCCGGAGACTCCAGCGGATTCCTCGTGTTCGCTTATGTCGCCGTCTACATCCATGGGGCCTTCTATTGGCAATCGTCCAGACAACAAACAAACGTTATTTATTTCAGGTTGAGCAAACCAGGTCGGAATCACAGTGTGCAACTTGACAAACGGCATGTGTGTCGTACCATCGCCACCTTCGGTCTCGTCCATGGTGGAAACGTCTCTGGCGATGGTTATATTGTTGTTACCCTGCTGCGTCTGTAACGTGGCGTCCAGAGCCTGGGAGCTGACGCCGCTTTGAGGTATCAACGGTTCTATGGAGAACAGTTCCTCGGAGCCGTTGATCACCTCGATCGCCGAATTGGTCAGCGTGAACGGCGCCGTTGGTCGCGCTACGCCTAACCTCACGGGGGCTATCAGAGAGTCGGCCGTCTCGCACAGCTCTTCGACGGCTAATTTGATCAGCGCTTTGAATACTTTCCGACACTTCATCAACGGCTGTGACGCTTGAGTCGTGCTGCAACATATCATCGAGGAGAACATTTAGAACGGGCAATCGCACGCTAAGAGATATAGTAACTCGTAACGAGATCACGGATTTTCCACGCACTTTCTCCTCTTCGTTGCCGGAGCCATTTCAATTGTAAAGATGACAAATATTCGAGCCACGGACCGGACGAACCGGCGTGCGACGTTGTTCGCTTCTTCTTGGCGACCCGGCACAGCCTCGTTGTGCAGTTCTCGGATCAAAGTCGTGAGAAGAGTATCGAGCATCTGGAATAATTATTTCATACGTGAACACCGAGTGCTGGCCGTTATTTATCGGCCGGCAGACGAAGAATAGTTTTCCTTACTTCCGCATTGCATTTAACTAAAAGCGAATGAGTAAACTTGTCGAGTAACGCGGTGCCGCTCTGGCGACACAGTTGCCCCTGGTCTCCGAACAGCTGATCGTTTCCGTTTGTGGAGACTCCTGACATGATCATGCATTGCACTGCCGGCCAGTCGTTGAGCAATCTTTCTAAAGCTCTACGACTGAAACGTGGAGGCTCCAAATCGTGGTCCGGCATGTCGGAATCCGCGTCCACACCTACCAACAGATTTATACTTCTAAGTACCGTGGAAAACGTCGCCTAATTAAAATGATCGATCGTATCAAAGTATACCGTCGGAAGAGGTTCCTTTACGACTGGCAGATGTTGATCGCTGTCTGAGCGCGGATCGGCACTGTCTTTGTTCCATCATCTGTCTGCCGACGGTTTGAACCAAGAACAGCAGAATGCTCTCTCCGCTGTGAAATGAAAAACACGATTTACTAAGTTTCTTCGCTCTCGCGGGAATCGCGAACGGAAACGGAAAAGTTCGATCGGAACGCATCTTTCTTTTCCTCGGATCGATCCTGTACACACGGTAGGATACAGATTTTCGCGACAGACTCGAACTTTTCAACTCCCGTTAAGTTTGATATTTGATTACTTGTTCCTTTACCGTGAGTTTAGTTTCGTCGCGAGATCGGTATTAACTACAAGGCGACACAATAGCTGGTAGCGAGCACTCTGGTGTCCCGCGATTAGAGCACGGCATTTACATTTCTCCCAACAATCACAATAAGCTGTGGGGGACGTTATTTTCATTTTGCAATCATGTCCTCGGTGGCAAACACGAGCACATTCCGTGCAACAACATAGCGAGTCAGTCAAACCACACGTTCTACATTCATAGATGTTCTAAAAAAGAAAAAACAGAAAATGAACTTCGGTTAATCGCGTGTTCACGCACACGCACACATACGCGCGCGCGCGCACACACACACGTACGCACAATACAACATTATTTAAATATGAAGGACCTGGTCAATGTGTTGCGTTCCAGTCCAAGTGAAGCTGCAGGTGTCGTTGCAGCAGGTAACGAACAAAGGTGATAAATCCGGATTCGCGTCTGGGTGTAGTATCATGGCTAAACATTCCTTCTGATCTTTGCCGACTCTTTGAATGGTGTCTAACAAGATAAGAGCCGCGTGATACGCGCGAACCGAAACGGCGAGCATCAGCGGTGTCTGGCCCTGGGCATCCCTGTTAACGTGAATATTAAAAATAGTTTGTTCGTGCCGTGTACAAGTGGCAATTCGTTAAATTCATTTGAGAAATTATACTCTTTGGAATAATTACTTTGCCATAAGTAACTCTTTCAGGTGAGGAACCAATACGTTGCTTTCGCACATGTACTTTAGTATGAGCAGCGCGTTGTTCCTTCTTTCAACAGAATCTATTATGTAAGTGTTATTGGACGTAGTTCCGACACCTATTAATACAAACATATTTATATAATTACACTGCGATTAAGAGGCATCAGAAAGTCAACCGAAGGGATCGGCATACATTCGATATTTTCTTTTACCTGATTTATTCATCATGGATATACTGGCAGCGCCAATGCTAAGTAAACTATCCTCTTCCCCTGATGTGTTGTCAAATGCTTCCGGTGGCCAACTTAGCGTTGGTATTGGTTCCTCGATTGGTGCGGACGCACCGTCAACTGTATTCGTGACCAATTCACGTTCGATACCTTCCAAATAAGAAAAGATAGGTTTGCGCATACTACAACTCGTACTGTGATTACATTCACTATTGAAACACTAATTCCAATACCTTGATCATTTTCTTTGTTAGAAGTTGGTGAACACATACTGATACAGGCATGCAAGATATTCCGGTTGCCATCACAACGTTCGGTTAATATTGCCTGAATTTGTGCAGCATTGTTTTCTTAAGAAAGAAGAAATAAAAATAAAGATTAGATGTAGTTACGTAGAGAGACTTTATTTATTCAATTGCGCGAAAGTATGTAATCATACTTACTGTGGTCTTGTTCCAGATTACAAAACACCTGTTTCACGCTGTCGTAGTCACACCTTAATATACGCGGCATAAGTAAAAGGTTATCAAACGCTAATGCGACAACAGCGACTTGATTTTTCATGTTGGTGGAATTCGAACAATTTGGTATAGGAATGGTCGAAGCGCCGATACAAATTACTGGAACTAAATCTAAACAGTGTGGATCACGGATAGCACCAGCACAATCTTTCACTAACGGATAAATTGTATTATTTCCATCCCTAAGTATCATAGAGCATTCGATATTCTGTAACATCAACAGAGTCAATTGTAATTGTCTGATACTACAGAGCAGCATATAAGGTATATTTAATGGAAAAATTATGAGCGTGTACCTCTCCTGCACTTGTAAGACTAATATTTTGAGGTTGTAAGCCCAAAAAGCACGACACATCCGATGGAATATAGCAATCTTGTACATGTCTTCTAGTACTCAAATTATACACCACGTAACTCAGCTTGTTTCCGTTTTTCACAATTGCGTGGATACCTACGAGTAATCAAACATTAGAGAGGAACGCGGATTGGCACGCGTAACATGCATGTATGTATTCACTGCTAAAATTTCACCTTGTCCATCTGTCGCGATGGTTAAAATATTATCAACTGATCCTTCAACTATATTTACTCTTCTGGGAGTTCGCTGGAAACAATCCGGAGCTCTTGGATTCATAGATGACTTAATTACCTAGACACATGGTTTTTATGTTAAAATGCAATATATAATCGCTGTCATTTAAGATTGTTCGATCGCCGTTTAATTTACCTGCAACTCGTCTTTTCTCAACAATCTACAATCAGCTAATAATTTAATTGATTCTTCCGCTGTAAGATCTTTAAAATCTGATGTGCTGAAATCCTTTTCCTTAATTTCCTTCTCTTTATCCTTCGAGTCTTTGGAAAAGAATTTCACAGCAACATAGTAACCGTCCACTTTTATAACTTTGCCTGCAGATGAAACCAAATGATATAAATGTGTCGTAATGTAAATCATCGGGAAAGGTATTACTCGTTCACTGGACCAATAATGCAACGTACCAATAGGAACAATCTTGACGTCTTCTACAAAAACAACATCCTTCAATTGCCATTCTTCTTCGTCTTTTCGTTCCGACGACTCTCCGTCGCTTCGAGGTGCAACTCGTTTTTGCCTCTCTGCGGAATCAAAAGAAGCGCACGTGTTACGATTAATCGATGTTCGTTTGAAAGTCTCTCTTAATATTCTACCGTTAAATATTCCAAATGGAATCGTCACTTTATTAAAGCCTGAACTAAAACGGTACGTGAATTGTAAGCAAATCAATGTAAATAAATTATGACAAGTTCTTACTGTGACTTGTTGTAATGCTACCAGTATCACTACATGTGCTCGAAGCTGGTGAAGGTGGTGGAGGCATATCAAGACGATCTGCAGTTTCTTTATGATTTGTCTTAGTAATAGTACCCGTTCCGCTGTTTCCACTTGCTTCGCGTTTGTCCGCATTAGCATTAGGCAAGTGAGATCCAGCTGGTAGCACTTTGAATCTGCAAGTCGAATCTAAATTCCAAGCAGCTGCTAATAATTGTCCTACTTTTGGGACTCCGTTAGCAATTGTAAATCCTAAACAATAAATATAACGTAATCAGTGCCCCGTAATGTTACACAAGCGTTTGAACTTTCTGAACGTCTTAACTGACCTATTGCTCCTGGTTGATATATAGGGCTATTTTTCATACAAACGTGTGTGCCGTAACTAATATCGTTTGAAGATGCCGTTGATGGTCTGTGTTTGCGCGATTTAGCCTTGTACTTTTCCCATAACTTTTTGCGCTGAGCGAATGGTAGAACTCCCCTGTGCAAGCAGATTTATAATTACTTAAGTTTCCTTCGTCTTAAATATATACACATATATATATATACATATATATATATATATATATATATATATATATATATATATATATATATATA